AGAGTGACTAGAGGGAGGTAATCACCCAAGAGGAACATAATTACATATCAAAATAAAGTGGAAGCATTTGTGAACCTTATAGACAAAGGAGTCCAAGGTAATTGGCTAAGCACAAAAGGAGGGGAATTTCCATGTTTGATGAGTTGAGGAGAATGTTCCTTTCATTTTCTTTAGTAATTGCCTAGCCAACTTTGGCACCCTCAAATCCAAGACCCCTTTTGTGCTTTTGCCTTGTAAAACCACGGCCAACTTGACCCCTCCAAGATCTCCTGCAAATATATACTACCTTTTTTGTGAGTGGAACCAAAGCCAATCCCACCTAAAGATGCACAATCTTTGCTATTTTCAATACCAGCAGCCTACTCCAGCAAACCTAGTGTGTAATGTCAAACTGACTGCCCTCTTTGTCTGTACCTCTCTCTCTCTCACTCACTCACACACACACACACGCACGCACTGGTTTCTCCATGATTTGAATTGCGGTGGTGCTAATGCCAACGCATGTAAACGTCATTTCTCATGTCATTTAAAAGTTTAAGTTCGTTCGGACAAATATACCCTTAGAATCCCAACACCGCCCGGCGGAGGCATGGCACGCACGGTTAGGAGATGGGACGCAGCGCTGTTGAAGTTGGAATTCATCTGTGTGAGCTAGGTGGAGCGAGGTTTAAAGGATAGCACATTAAATTTGAGGGGAGAGAGATGGGATGAAATCTAAAAGGACCCTCTTCCAATTGTGCTGTGTGGTCGGTCACACTACCCATGCCGCCTCCGTGGCTTACTCTACTGAGCTCAACCTTTTTCCGTGTAGGAGCTAGCACATTTATTCCATATTAAATTTTGATTAATTAGATTATAAATTTTAATATTTGTTTAATTAATATTTAGTAAATATTATATATACTAATTTATTGTATCAATTCTTAATATTAAATATAAAATTAGAATTAAGGTTATGTATATATTCTAAATGTTTGAAACTCTCGTAAAAATTATAGACTTTTAATCTAATAAAATTGAGAATATATTCAAAAACATAGTAGATTATGTACTTTTATTGAAAGTTGTATTTTATTTTATTTTTTAAATTGAGAGAATAATAGTAAATTTTATGTTATTATTATAATTTTTTATTTATTAAATGATGTGTATTTTGAATTATTTATAAAATTGACTTTTGTCTAGCAGTTTTGCGAATCAACTGGACCTTTGCCTTTCTTCTGCTTGTTTCCCATTCCTCCTTCAACCATCACTCTTTCTTCTCTCTCTCTTTCTCCTCCCTTTTTTCCACGTCCACCTCTCTGTCTAATGCGGACTAACTTCCTTTGTGGAGGTGGTCTAATTTGAACCAACTCACTAAAAGAAATTAATTCAACGTGGATTGATTTCTATGTATCAATCGATCGAGTTAGAACCAAACTCTATATAAAAGTAAGTTTATAATCAATCGAATTCTGAATAGCAAAAGTAATTTTACCTATTTTAATAAATAATATAAAAATATACATAATTTGATAAATAATAAAAATTATAATATTAATATAAAAAAATAGCATTAAAAGTGCTTTTAGAAGTGGGTATGGTGCTGACTCCTAAGAATCGACAATGGGTAATTTCAAATTATGCTTCAACAACATTTAAAGGTGTCAGAATTTCTGAAATATTAATTTTGTTACAAGAAAAATAAAAGATTATTATGTTCACTTTGAATGGGCGGTGGGTCCCTCCCAAATAATAAAAATTTTGAAACTTTCACTTTCACTTTCAGTGGACAGATTCGTACATGTTACATGCAAAGTGGTCATTCTCTTGTCCATTTTTGTTTTTAATGTATTTATTATATCTGAGAATTTCAGTTCATAAAGTTGATGAGAAGAAATACATAAACCGGAAATGCTAAAAGCCACTAGTGTCTGCAAAAGCTGCACGAAGGGTCAACTCAGGTGCTGTGGAGTATCATTTCGCCTTTCCCTCTCACCCTTTATCAAGAAACACGATGGCTAGGCAAAGTTTGGATGAGGTTCTTTTTCTTCCTTTGGTGCATTTTATTTACTATTTAGGCACCAAAAAGTAGAGACTGCTGTTTTCACCCGTAAAATTTACCTGACCAGATACAATTATCAATATTATCAAAAAAAATGTGTGTTAATGTTTTATCTCATTTTATTTTTAATTTAATAAAATATTCTTTTTAATATTATTTTCAATTGTATTACCATTTTTGTTGTATTTTTATATTATTATAATTGTTTTTTAAAGATCATTGAAGAGTTTTTTAATAAAAAAATGAATTATGTTTAAATAAAAATATTGTTGCCATGTAAATATGGTATTATCAAATAGATATGAGAATGAGATTAAAATTAAAACTCAGCCAGGTACGAGAATAAATATATCAGTCAAACAGAAGGACAAGTACAGTAATAATAGCCATCTTGCCACTTATAATAAAAAAATATTAGTGTGATATTCCGTTTCACATCAATTTTTAAGAGAAGTTTGATATGATAAATAAAAGATTAGAGACTACTATTAAATAATTTTGACTTAAACTTTTTAAGTCAGTAGTTCAGGTTCAACAAGTTATTAGAGTCAGTAGTACTCGAGTCGTTATAAATGATATCAGAGAAAAACGATTTTCAGACTTGTTCTGTTTATATACGAATATAGATTTTTGATTTGACGAGAATGTTAAGTATTTAAGTGGAGGAAATTGTGACATCTCATTTCACGTCGATTTTTGAGAAAAATCTGATATGGTGTATAAGAAACTAGAAACTAATACTAAATAATTTAGACTTAAGTATTTTTGATTAGTAATTCAAACTCAACAAGTTGTTAAGATTAGTAGTTCTCGGGTTGTTACAATTGGTACGTTGCTATTAAGACTCTTTACATTTTCTCGAAAATATATATTTATTAGTATATACTGTATTACTTAATTATGTTTTAATTTTTTACAATTTTTCTTTTTAACATGAGATTGGTGATGTTATTATTATGTTTTATTTTACATTTATAATAAAATTACTAATAAAAATGTTAATATATTAAATAAATAATAATAATAAATTTTATGAAAAATAATGTCCATGTGTGGAGGCAGTCATTCATCGAGTGGACTGATTTAAGGAACAGGATAGGCAAGCAGCCACGTCCGACAAAATGTGTAGAATCTGAAAAGATGGGACACGTGGAAATACGAAAGGGACTTTTGCACTGTAGCAAAAGTTGGAAAAGCTTTAGGGAGGGGTACTGAGTTGTCATACACAAACAAACGACAGGTATCACTCTAATCAAACAGCCAAGGATCAACCCCATCCACTTCTTTTGCCCCAGAGAATTTTTGTTAATGCCACCCCCTCTTCCTCTTCTATTTCCTTCCTTTCCCCATCCAGACAAGAGCTACAGGACGAAATTCTTTTTATTTCTTTATTTTTTATGCTCGTTCGTTCTCATACCCAACTGTGGAGAGCTGAGTTGTTCAATTGTTTTATATATATCTACTTTTTCTTTTTCACAAAGATAAAGTTAATAAGTATCCCTAATTGGACATGATAAGATCTTTTTATTGTATATAAAAAATTGAATTAAATTTGTCATTTTAGCATGAATTATTGAAAAATGTTAAATCTTTTTTGCTTTGAATAGTCCAATTATTCTTATTTATAGGTTTAGAAAAGTCTACTCTCTTGGTAGGACAAATAACACTTTATCTAAAAAAAATTTAACTTTTATCACTACATCCCTTAAAAATATATAAAGAAAATTTTTCCCTTATAAATATTTTTTTTCCTTATAAATATTAAATTTATAACATTTGTCATCTTCTCAACATTTAAGTGAAATATTTATTAAAAATTTTACTTTTAAAAAATGTAAATATCATTTCAGGTATAAATATTGATTAATTTTCTCATATTTCAATATTTACAGTCATTATTTATACTTAAAAACATATTTATATCCTTTAAAAATAAAATTTTGATAAATATTTTTTTTAAAAATTTTTTGAGAGATAAAGTATTATTTGTCTTTTGAAATAATTCATTTATTTATAGTATATTTTTAAAATCTTTATTTGTAAATTTTTAATTTATATATTTTCACAGTTAATAAAAACTCATAATTTTAAAATTAAAGAGTTATAAAATTTATATTAAATTAATTAAAATTTTTTATTTTAAAATATTCATAAACAATATTAATTTTAAATGATATAAATATTTTTTAATATAAATAATAATTTTAAATGTTAAAACAGAAAAAAATTAATCAATATTTAAATCCAAAATAATATTCATACTTTTTTAAAGTAAAATTTTTAATAAATATTACATTTAAATATTAACTAGAAAAATAAATATTATAAATTTAATATTTATAAATAAAGTCCCTTTTATATATTTTTTAAATTTAGTACTAAAATTTAAGATTTTTTAAAGAATATATTGCTATTTATCCTTCCTATTAAAAGAAAAACAAACGGACCCATAAGGCCATTAACTAAGAGAGGCTTTGGTACCAGCTCACCGTCCAACCAAAGTGCCTCACAGTGAAAAGCCAATAATGGAGGTTTTACCAAAAGAAGGGAAACCCTACAATCTAAAAAGAAGCTCTAATCTTGGTCCTCTGCGTCAGAACATTTATATATGTGAATATTGATTAAATACTCTGCAATATTATTGATATTTGCCTTTTATATTATTAAAAATTATAAAGAAGAGTAGGGTAATATCAACTCATGCCTTCCCTTTTTCTGCTCTCATCAATGTTTCTGCACCTCGAGTGCTATGAAACATGCCATCTAGCCTGAAATATATAGCTAATGATGGGTCTTCCCTTCTCCTCGAAGATAAACGGCCCATCCGGGAGGAAAAAAGAAAAGAAAAGAAAAGAAAGAAAATAGAGCATTTCACAGGAGTAAACTAAACTTCCAAACAGAAACTTCCAGAAGAAACCAGCGTTCACCCACTTCTTTTCTCACTCTACAAAACACCTTCAATGAATTCATCAAGCAAAAGACCTTTTCCCTCTTCATCATCATATTCAAGTTTCTCAGCTGCCCCATTGCTTTTGCAAGTTTCAGTCATCTCGGAGCCAGAGCTTGTAAGCTTGATAGCCTTCCTAGCCTCAGCTTCCCAATCTGTATCCTTGTAAATAACAAAGAGAATACACAGGGCACAAGCTACTTGGGCTGAGAGGAGGCCGAACCAAAGGCCACTGAAGCCAATTTTGACCCAAAAGGCCAAGCCAACAGCCACCGGAGTCCCCACAATGTAGAAGGAAAGGAGGTTTATTCGGACCCCCACTTTGGGCCTTGCGGTGGCTCGTAGGATTCCACATCCGGTTGTTTGAGGGCAATTCCCGAGCTCACACAGCCCCATAAGTGGCATCACCGAAGCTACAAGGCCTTTCACCATCTCATCGGCGGTGAACAGTCCTCCCCATCTCTCCCTAAAGATCACTGTCCACATCACATTGATCAAGCCGATAACAACTGCACTGCCTAATGCTACCCATGCTGCTAATTTTGCTTTGTACGGCTTCCCTGCTCCAAGCTCATTCCCTACCTGAAAGTTGAATTTCCACTTATTGATGAATAAAAAATGCCCATTCAATTCACTGTATGGTTCACAAATATCATGATCACATGAAATCAAGAAGATTGTTTTGTCAAATCAATGATAAACTATTGTAGAATAATTACCATTCCCCTGATGTCAAAGTGTAACAGAAAATTGTCTACTGTTCTAAATCCAGAAAAGGACTGCTCCGACAATAATATTAATACAATAAATAATTTCATTAATGAAGTAGCAACAAAAATCACAGGGATCATGCGGCCAGATCAATTAGTCATCAATGATCAATTTTTGGCCTGAAAGTTAGTACAATTACTAGTTTCATCACAGACACCTGGTTTGCTTTTGTTGGTTAGAGCTAAGTTTCATCACACACGTATGGAACAAAACATCATGGCCCAAAAAAGGCAGAGGAAAAGGAATGTGGCCAAGGCAACACTTGTCCTATGCTCAGATTTGTGCAATCACAACCCATTTGCGATCTTAAGGTATCCTAAAAGTGATAACCTGATGCAATCATGTAACAGATGAAAAGCATACTCAAATCACTCATGGACATTTGGTGAAGCAACCTAGCACCATGTTTGGATAGCTCTCAACTGGCAGGAGAAAAGGGAAGGAGAAGAAGAGAAAAATACTTAGACCCAAAAACAGAGGCACTTTCGCTTGTTTGCCAAGTATGGGTTGAAGACTGCAACAGGTTCATCAAAACATGATTTTGATAATGCCATTATTTCCATTTTTGAAGCCATCCTTTCTGGTATCTTATCTTTTCAAATTCCACTCAGTTCCTCCATCCTTCCCCTTCTATTTTTCCCCTTCAAAACCAGAAACTTAATAAAAGGAAGAGAAAGTCGTTACATTCCTTCTTTCTTTTGAGAAATTCCAAAATTAAAATCACAATCATACTCATGCTACCCACCAAAAATAAATAATACAACCACTAAGTATCATAAATTGACCACACATTTAGACACAACAAATTTTTACTTTGAATCAAAGAAAACTTAACGCCACTATAGTGGAACCACCCATCCCTCCACACATGCAAACCCCCCCCCCCCCCCCCCGCGGGGGTGGCGGGGAAAAAAAAAGGAAAAAAAGATAATTTACTTTTGTTCTTATTGAAAAATTTAACTGCCTCTCAGCGCTAAAACTAATGACAGCACATGGACTACAAACCAGTAAAGCAAATGAAGCAAACCTGACCTATGATTATGAAATGCAAGTTACACTTTATATGCACTGCTTGCCTCACTTGTCAATGAAGAAACCAATAAAGAAATAATGAGAAGAAGAGTAACAAAGAAAAGACACAGATTTCTTTTGTCTGACTACAGTGCCTAACAACAAAAAAATGCTTCAATAATGCTTCGAGGCGAATAGAAACCAATCTCCTCCAGTGACTCAGAACTGAATGGGTATAAATCATTGAGCAATCCATATCAAGCAATGGCAGAGGAATTCAAGAAAAATGCTACAAAAGAGGATTTGAATCACCCATGTCTATTTTCTGCTCCAAAGATTTAAAAGGTCTTGCACTGTGACACACAATCATTTGTGGCAATAGTGTATATATAAAACAAAAGTGTTGGCTCCTCACCAAAATGCATCTACACTTACTCAACAATGTAGGCCCATACACCTCATTTTGATTGAAAAGAATCTGAATCGGCCACGTTGTGTTCTTTCACATTCAAATAAAGACCCCTGAACTCGTATAAAATTAACAAAGGCGAGTTTTCCTTCTTGGTTTAGCCAATTTGGCTTAGTAAATCATCCGTTTTCTTACCTTGTATTGGTTAGTAAAATCCTAATGACCTCTGTGACACTACCTACCTGTGAGTCCATGCAGTAATTGGTGCATAAACATTTTTATATACTAGCATAACTAAAAATATTTACACGGATATGCAAGACACGAACATATCTAATCAAGGTTGGTTCCTAAAAATTAGTCCACTCTGCAAAACTTGATCCCTTCCCTGGAAATATAGTTAAAAAAAAAAAAGGAAAGGGAAAGGCAAAGGGAAAGCGTAGGAGAAAGAGAGGGATATACCCTGGCGGAGACACAGCCAGCCAAGGCCATGGGGACGTTGTACATGAGACTAGTAGTCTGAATGAGTACGCCGGTAGCCGCCACAGCCTCCCTGGGACTGGGAAGGTAACCTGCAAGCAATCACGGTGGCAATATGAATTCTAACATAATTAAGGTTCTGTTTAGTCACTTGCATGGCTTCGGGCTTTTAGCCGAAAAGACAATATAAGCCAGGATATCAGAATTTATGGGCTTCCAAGTCAGAAGGCCACACTCTTCAGCCCAAAAAGACAAGAAGTCATGACACTGTAACTCTTAGGCTTCTAAATTTGAAGGGCATGAGCCAGAAAACTACAATATATCAACTTTACGGGGCTTTTATTTTTGAGAAAAACCAAATGCACAAGTCAGAACCTGAATCTGAGATAAACCACGAACGAATCGCCACCCGTACCTGCGAGTACTGTCACAATCTCGTACCACCACCATTCAAGACACACCGCGGCGCAGCTGGGCACGGCCAGTCTCAACAGCGGCCAAATCCCGCCCACAGCTCCCCAATCCCACCACCAGCACCTCTCCACCTCCAACCCCACCTCCCACACCTCCACACGTACAACACCATCAGCAGTACCATGTTCAAATTCGTCAACACCGACGCCATGGCCACCCCCCGCACCCCCAACCCCAGTCCCACCACCAGCGCATAATTCAGCGGCACGTGCAACGCCACCGCCATTAAACTACAATACATTTGCGGCTTCGTCACCCCCTGCGACCTCAAATACACCCTCAGAGGCTGCAACAACGTGTTCGTCAAAAGGTCCGGCAGAGAATAAAAACAGTAAATCGCTGCCATGGCCGTGATTTCCTTGTCTTGACCCATGAATAGTAAAATATTTTCCAAGTTTAGCCAGAGAAGGCTAATGGGTATGATTGCAATCAGGAGTATGAGGATCATGCGGTGGAGGGAGAGCGCGAGGAGGTCCCAGTTCTTGCTGCCGTAGGCCTGGCTGCAGACGGGTTCGAGGCCGGAAGAGAGGCCGTTGAGAACAGAGTAGCCGGTGATGTTGGTGAATCCGATGGAAAGGGCGCCACCGGCGAGCTCTAGGCTGCCGAGACGGCCCAAGAAGAGCACTGACACTACTGCTCGAACATAGACAAGACAGTTCATGGCTGTTATGGGCAAAGCCATTCCCCAGAGTTCTTTCACCTCCTCCACCACCTAAACAGAGCATCATACAGGAAAAAAAATACATTCACATAAAAAAAAAGAGAGAGACAGAGACAGAGAAAATCGTGTAAAACGGAAGCTATTTGAGCTGTTTCACCTGAGATGGTGCGGGATTCCTGTGGGAAAAAAAATCCGGGTCCTCATCCGCCATTGTTGATTGAAGCTAAAGAAACAAAATAGCTCGGAAACCCCTCTCAAAATGGCATGTGAGTCCTGCAAACGATTGACTCAACCAATAAGAAAACCGACCAAAAGCGGACATTATTAATAGATTCAATCGTGTTCTTATTAATCGAAATCCTCATTATGGCCTCAAATGAAAATGAAAAACCAAATTTTTTCAACTCACTCACTCACTTTCTGTTTCTCAAGCTCTCTCTCTCTCTCTCTCTATATATATATATATATATTTCTCTCTATTCTTTCAGGGAGAAATTTTGTATGTCTCTATTCTTTCAGGAACGGCAGAGATAAAAATGGCGAAGCAACGTTAAGAAAAATATAGCGAGAGGGTGGGAACTGATAGGTAACAGATAATGCCCAGTAGCCGCTTTCTTTTTTTCTATTATCTGAGGGGATGCAGGAGGGGTAACTATAGGCGGCGACTATCGCGTAGAGGCATTTTTTTAAGGCCTATGGGCAGAAATGACGACAGGAAAAGGGAAGGTTTGCAGTTGCAGGGAGAAAGGAAGTGGGAGACAGCAATGGTTTTGTGTACCTCTGCGAGCGAGGGGGAGAGAGAGAGGGAGAGACAGGGCTCGGGTTTTAGCTCTGTACCGCCTCTACAAATTATAAATCACAAATTTTTCCATTAATTTTATTTTTAATGCTCTCGGTGCGAGGAAGCATAGCTGCAGAGACTGGACGGGCACAGGAAGGGGCACCGCTCCATGGCTCGAACCATCGAAACGAAACGGTAACGTGCGAAAGTCGGCTAAATTCCTCTCACCTTAAATTTCGGAATTTTTTAAAAATTAATATTTTATTAAAAAATATTTAAATAATTGAGGCCATGTTTTTTAATTATTTCCTTTCCTTTTATTTAGTATTCGGTTTTTAAAAAATTAATATTTTATTAGAAAAATATTAAAAAATTTTAGGCAATGTTTTTTAATATATTTTGTTTCCTTTTTATTTAGTATTCGGTTTTTCAAAAATTAATATTCTATTATAAAAATATTAAAAAAACTGAGGCCATGTTTTTTAATTTATTTCCTTGCCTTTTTATTTAGCATTCGGTTTTTTTTAAAACTAATATTTTATTAAAAATATTAAAAAATTGAGGACATGTTTTTTAATTTATTTCCTTTCCTTTTTATTTAGTATTTAGTTTTGTAAAAAATAATATTTTATTATAAAAAATTAAAAAATTGAGGCCATGTTTTTTAATATATTTCCTTTCCTTTTTCTGTTTTCATTTCCATAAACATTGAAATTAAAAATGGAAACAACTTTAATAACATGTTTTCATTTTCTAAAAATGGTAATATTTTCTTTTTAAAAAAAAATGGAAACACAATTTTTATGTTCCATAAAAAATAGCAATGCAAGGTAAATAGAATTTCTATTTCAATTACGAAAATCTTATATAAGAGAAAGATGTGAAAAATAGATATCAACAAATATGTATTAAAAAGAAATATTCCAAAACATGGGCAAAAAAAGAATTTAACAATATTATTATATAAATTAAAATATAAATAGTGTAGAAACAAGAAAATGGAGAGAGATTAATAATAAGTAGTGAAGAGGAAAATTTTGAATAATGAAAATAAAGTATTAAATAATATTTTTTCATATATTGTTATTGGAATACAACAAATAAAAATTATTAATTTTGAACTTGTGTAGGGGTAAGGGAAAGAATGAAAGTGAAAGGAAACGAATCAAAAAAATTGGTTTTTAATTTGTTGGAAAATTATATAAAAATGAATAATTAATTATAATTTTATTTAGATATCAATAATAAATAAAATAAAATAAATTTATTATACTAACCTTATTTTCTAATAACTATCTGTTGTTTATTATTTTTTTATGGTGAGAAGAAATATATTTAATTTGGAATTTCATTCCCTCACCATGTTTGAGAAAGTACCAAAAGGGTAAAAATTATTAAAGAAAGTAAACCTTAAATAATGATTTTCCTTTTATAATCTTAAGCAGTAAATTTGTTTTCCTTTGAATTAAGTCTACCAAAAAAGGTGAAAATTATTAAAGAAAGTAAACCGTATATAATGCTTTTCCTTTTATAATCTTAAGCACTAAGTTTGTTTTCCTTTGAAGTGAATGGGTACAAAATTTATAATATTTCAATCCACTTAAAATTCTCAAAATTTGGGCCTTCTCGGCCCTTTCTATATCCATAAACTCAAAAACAAACCAAACATGGTAGGATAATTACATTTGCGCCCTCCCCATTTATTAGGTAGTTGGCGTCGCCGGTTTAACCAATGCGGAATCGAGTTCCGCTATCCCCCTATTGCCGGTCTAAAAGGAAATATCAACAGTGTTCATTTCCCTTTGTACCCCTGGCCTGTCCTTCTAAGCCCTAATTCAGACGTAGCATAAAACTCTCTCTAGAACAAACTAAGTTAAACAATGCTACATTTTGTAGGGATGGTAGCTGTCCCTGTTCAGGCATTGTAAACTAGTCCAGATTGTAATTGAATTATCAGTTTTGTTCCTTAAAAAATTGGGATTAGAATTTTGAAAATCCATCAAGTTCCAAACCTCCACAGCCCGATCTTATTTACAATTTTAGTTCATCATGATTTCAATTTCAGTTTGATCTCAGTTGCAATCTCGATCTAGTTTGATTGTGGTTTTGATTTGGGTTTTGTTCTGGTTTAACAAAAAAATATTAATTATTAATTTATAATAGTTTTTTGTTATTGAAAATAGAATTCTAATAATAATTTTATATTAAGAGATTGTTCTACTTTTATTTTTTTTTATAATAAATATAAGAAAAAACAAACCAAAATTTTATTTCGTATAAAATATAAACTATAATTCAATTATTTATGTTTTTTTTAAATATTACCACTTCATTTTTTTATGTTAAACAAATTTTTTATATATTTTTCTTAAATTTGATTTGTATAATAGAAGAGATTATTGTTTAATTTATGCATTTATATTTAAATTAACGATATCAATTTTATATTTTTTATTAGTTAATGTCTAAAATAAATTTTTTTTTATCTAAAAGTACATATTTTTTATATCTAAAAAATAGATTGTATGAATTATATCTAAAAATTAAGTAAATGTCTTTTTTATATCTAAAATAAAAAAGACAAACAAAATTTTCACAGTTATTTATCTTGTACTCAATTTCATATCTAGTCGAACTTGTTTAAATATAATTATTTTTTAAAATTAATATATTTTATAACATATTAAACATATTAGTCTTTTAGTACATTTTTTAATTTTTATATATATATATATATATAATACTTGGTACATGACAAGTTAAATTTTATAATCTTTGTCATTGTCCTTGTATTCAAAAAAAATTTTGTAAAAATTTCTAAACATGCCCTTATCCCTATTTATAGTATCTTCACCCAATCTCAATCAAATAAAATTAGCAAGTACTTGTCAAGTATAAGTAAAATTGTTGTCATAACAATAAACAATGTTATAGTGTCGTTACTCTCTTTAAAAAAATGCACTTGTTAAGGTGAATAAGGCTACTTTTATAATTCAATATTGCTCATTGCTCTTGTCTGACGTGGGATCAGTAACAAACTTTTTCACTTTAATTTTTGACACTTTTATCAAGATAAAAGCTCATCAAAATGGGGTTCATGCCCTCTCCCCATCTTGCCTACCTCCATGGAGGCATCGGAGGCGCTTATGTATGTGTCATAATATTATTAAACTAATCTATCGAAATTGATTTCTAATATTATTTGTCGTGGAGTATTATTCTCTCCTTAAAAAATGCACCTATCAAGGTATATTGCACATTTTTTATATTTTAATATCTCTTATTGATCATATCTGATATAAAATTCATGACACAATATCTCTAGATTATTTTGCTTGTATCTGCGACTTCCAAAAATAGCGATAATATGTATATCAAATAAAAAATTTTATTTAGTTTAATGTTATAACTTTTTATAAATTTTACATTTATTATTTCTAACTCATTTTTACTAATCATGCAATTAAATAACAAATTTTATTTTATCTAAATTCATTTTTCCCAAACTGCTTTTTTTCAAATTTACTTACTCTGAATTTGTTATGAAACCAAACTTTACTAATTTAGACACATATATAATTATTGAGAATAATATTATAAAAACATTATTTTAGGATGGTTCAAATTAGGAACTACAATTTCATTTTGTTACAATTTGGTAAATTTATATTGCTCCAGTCATCTCACATCAAAATATATAAAACCATATGAGAAAAAATGTTAAATAAATTTAGTATGAAGAATTGGGCATATTATGGTCGAAGAATTGGCCGAAATTATTTATTTTGGCTAAATTATAATGGTCATATTATAACATTTAACTAACCAATAAAAGTTATGCCGATTAGAGAAAAATAATTGTGACTATTGGAAATTAAATAATTGTAATTGTTTAATATAATATTATCGAATTGCATAAAACACAAATTTTTCAGTAAAAGGCACATTTTTCATTTTATCATAGAGTTTTGAGATTTTATTACTTTTTAAAAGATTTTTATAACCTCTCTCTCTCTCTCTCTCTCTCTCTCTCTATATATATATATATATATATAAATTTCACGTAATGTTAATTTTATTTTATATTTAAAAAAGTCTCCATTACTATAACACTCATATTGAGATCATTAAATAAATACTAATGTTTTATTTCACATTTTGGTTTTTTAATATAGTTTTTACAAAAAAAGAAATTATCCTCTTTTTAATATAATTTTTGCTTTGAGAGCTTGTTTGAAAGAATTGGGTTTCAAGAAATTAATCTTTTTTTAAAAATTTGGTTTGTAAAACTTATTTTTATTCCTCCTTTTCTAAATTCTCTTTTATTTCTATTACTTCTTAAATTCTCTGAGTAGTAAAAATTTACTTTTAATTTCAAATATACCCTTAAAAAGAGAGTTTAGACAAATGACATATGTAGCTTATTATTA